AACATTGTTTTTTTTTAGAATTTATATTCTCTATCTTATCACATGATATTACAAAATGAGTTAAGCTGTCAAATAAAGAGATATTTTGAAACCTATATGCACTTGGAAATAAACAACACCTTTTGTACAATAAAATAATCATTTGCAATAAAATTATAACTGCGTTTGAACAATGCTCTGATAGTGTCACATTAACTAAAATTGCATTAAATCGTAAACAATCATTTCATCAGAATTAAACTCTAAGACCAAACTTTTAACACGTTAAAAATCCAATGAAAATAATTTGGCACACAAGGAAAACAAAAAATAATGACATTATGGTGTAATTCAAACTCATTTCTTTCTTTGTCTTTTTTTTTTTTTTTTGAAGGAAAACAAATCCTTCCGAGGATTAATAAATGATACTGCATTGGGCGTGTCTCCGCCGGGGTGTCTCTTATCCGGGGCAGCGTGAATTTAGGACCCTATAAAATACAGACACATTGATATAGTATTGTGCGTGTCTAGCTGGTGATAATTAGTAGAGTGACCGCTCACGCGAGAGAGTTTAACCAATAATAGGGTGCTAGTATGTCAATCTCATTAATGTTTGTAGAAGACATAATTATGTAAGGTCTAAAGCAGCAAAGTCTTCATTCAAATGTTAGTCCAATTTTTCACCCTCGCTCATTCAAAAATGCAGAACTTTCTTTCAAATGCACTTAAACACGTGCAAGCGTTTTCGCACACGGTTGAGTTGAGCAAAAATATAAACATGTTTCAGGGTATCTTCATTACCCGCATAACAAGTGTGCAATCTTGGTAACTTGTACATTAAATTCAATTTGGTAAATGCATTTACCAAAGTAAGACATTTCAACCAATACTAGGGTAAAGGTGAACTGATCAGTTTACCCAGGAGTCTGATTTTCATATGACACCGGAAACAAGCCTTTTTTTTTCTTAAATGAAGTTTGGATGAGCGAAATCAGTATTAACCTGAGTGTCTGAGGAGCAGCACCATGGCCAGCTCCGGACATGTGGGAGGGGGGGGAGGGGCCACATTACCAGCTGGGGGAGCACACCACAAGAAAACACACAATTGCAGATAATGATTTTACGATGATGGTTTTTGCCGATGGGGGCTTGGCAGTTGCTCGCTTTGTGGAGACCATGTTTATGAGGCGCCCCCTCTATTGATGAAAACTTAACACTAGTTTTATTTAGCGCGCCCTTTCTCGAAATAAACTTTCATTAGTTGTTCGACGGTTTCTCGCGAAATAGAATCTCCTTATGAGTAATACATCAAGACCGATTACTGGCCGAACTTACAACTTAAAACATCTGGGCCTGGTAGGCTCGGGTTATTGCGTGTGTCATATTTTTTGGACGTTGACTTTCTGTTTTCATTCGGTTGGTATTTTTCACGTTAATAAGACACTATATTTGTTTCGGTCAAACATGTATTATTATTTCATTGTTTGACAGTTTCCCCATAATATTAAATCTCATAATGTTACACAGTCATCATGACAAATCACTGGACGAAATTCTAATTTTGAAATACAGTATTAAATCGTTTTTGGGGGCAACAACTCAAGAAATACTACATGTATTCAATTAAAATTTCAAACACCATGCGTTGGAGATCTACAATCATGAGTATTACTAACAAAAATCGGGAAGTACGTGTAGTTATCACTTATGTCTTTGGGAGTCGATTTACAGGTCTTGGGGTGCAGCCCTGTATTACAATTCCCATGGAAACAAGTGTTAAATGCCCATACTTCAAAATCTTTGTAAAAATACTCAGAACTCTTACGGGTATAGCTGCAAAGAAAAAAAGGTAATCAACATGTCATCTTTTATTTTATTTTCATTTTTTTGTGGGTTGACCATTGACTTTTCGAGATATTCTCACCCAAAAAAGGCGACCCCACAAGTTTTTCCCAAATTGCAACAGTAGCCATCTTCAAAAACGATCCCTCCACAACATGACACAAAAGCGCCACTTTCGAGCCCAATTGCATCCAAAATTTTCAAAATTGAAAGCCCCAAATCCTGGCCAGAGGGTTCATTGCCTTATCTCTTCAAATCCCCAATTCTAGAGCTCTCAGAACTCTCTAATATAGAATAGTTTGAGGGTTTAACTTTCTTTCATGCACTCGGCGGATGGGTTTAGGCCTATTTACCGGTGTGCGCCCTTTACCATCCTGCATGGGCGCGATTTTTTTTTCTCCCAAACGTCATCCGCAAAGTTGGTGTACGGTGGGCGTTTTTGAATTTACCTTTCCAAAAACGTGAAAAGAAAATATAAATTAGAAAAAAAGAAAAGAAATGAATTTGAACGTAATAAAATTCGGACTTTATTTCCCTTCAGCTTTGTTTTGCCGATGAACCCCTCCGCGAAAATTCCGCCCGTGCACACATCCACCCCCCCCCCCCATGCACGTTGCGATGACCCTGGCCCATTTCTTTTTAAAAAAGGGCCCTTGATCAGAAAAAAAGGCATTTCTTCTTCAAAAAAAGGGCACTCTTTACAAGTTATTGGGGGTAAGCCCGTTGAAAAGGGGCATTTGAATGGAAAAGGGCAGTCTTTACAAAATATTGGGTGGGGGTAAATACCTCCTTACCCCCCCCCCCCCCCCCCCACATTAATCTGCGAAACACAACCTGTCCCCTTCAAACCCAAGCCAACCTGAACACCCTGCCCTTCACAGCTGGATGCAGAACAACACTGTCGGTGGGCTTCCGGTTGTGTTGGGGAGGGAGGGGGAGGGGGCAAAAATGGGCCTAACATCCAGCATTTTTCATTTCTCATTTTGTTGTCTACATGTTTTAGCTTTTTAAAAATCCGTGAGGTAAATTGTCACCGTTATCACGAAGAGCCACATATGTGGATTTTGAAGAAAAGGCGTTTTCGAGATAATCGCAAAAGAAGTTTCTCATATTTTTAAACTGCAAAAATTACCACTTTGCAACAACTTTGTGAAGCAAGAAAACCATCACACGATTCTTCGAGAGCTGAAGTTTTACATGAATCCGGTAATAAGACTTAATACAGCAGTTAATTAGTGAAAATTAATTAATAAAGATATGTGGCTCTTCGTGAAAACGCAAATTCAGGTTTCCGAGATATTGGCCCTTTCTGTTCAACGTGTATTTCCATAGGCGCGCGTGAGCGCGCGCGCGCAGCTGAAATGCAACAAAGATATTTGGCTCTTCGTGAAAACGCAAATCTCATTTTCTCTACTTTTACGTATTTCCGTGCAATGGGTTTTGTACGCGTTCAAAGGGCCAAAATGTATGTGGCTCTTCGTGAAAACGCAAAATGCATTTATCGAGATGTTTTTTCCCTTGCAACATTAATATAACTTAGAAATTAATGATGTTTTGCTTTCAGAAACACGTCTAAATGGTTAAGTACATTGTTTCAATGCGAAATAATGAAAAAAAAAATTTGACATTATGTGGCTCTTCGTGAAAACGGTGACGAAATGGGATAAGTAGACTACACCATCGTCTTAGTGCCATTCATTGTTTTTGATGAATTATTGAAAGATAAGTAACAATCGGCATCATATTTTGCTCCCCGCCCCTCATCTTCAATCCCTAACCCCCTCGACACCACTAATCATTCATCCTCCACCCCATCCATCCTCAACCAGTGTTAACCCGGCCTTTCATTAACACGATCCCCAAATCTAGAAGTCAAAACAAACAAAAATGGACACAAATACAGGTAATTAACTGACTTTATTTGCAATAATTTGTAATATCAAAGGGATAAGAAATGTTATCTATAATGACATATTTAAGTACTTAATAAGAAATTATTTTGTTCGCAAGAGTCAGACTGGGATTTGCTCGTTCATTTCAACGACAAAATTTCTCTGTAATTTTACTTTCTTGAGAGGAATTTGATGGAATGTATTACGAGTGGGACAAGGTTTTCCGCATTGTTAAAAGCTAAATGTTCAATTAAAGTAATGTTAAAAATACAGTTTTCGAGTATTTATATTCGATACTGATTACATGTTATATGATTAATTTCTGTGCTTAAATTGGTTTAGCTGCTTAACAGAGCACATCCTCAAATGTATACTTGGATTTTTTTTCTCGTAAAATCAAATATATACTATAGAAGCATAATTGTGTAATCTACTGATATAGTGTCACATCATCAACTGAAATTACATTAAATCGTACACAATTTCATCAAAGTGAAAGCTCTAAAACTCAACTTTTAACATGAAACAAAAACTCAATTACACATGTATAACACGGGATACAAAATAAAGTGTTTAACAAAAGTTTAGAGTTCTTGGTTCACTGTGGCGCTATTTGAAACCCTTGGGTTTTTTTTCAAGAAAAAAAGTTTCCGAGGATAAATAAATGACATCACCAGACTTCATTTTATCTCTGGCTGTATACGGTATGCAAAATGCAAATGAAAAAAAAAAAGCAGTATATTTAACAACAACAATATATTTTAATACATGCATTTGTTACTTCCCAGACAGACTATTGTAACGGTTTATGTTTTTTCATACGATGACCAGTTTTAAAAAAAAAAACATATATGCAGAAGGAAGGGTCGTACGCCCATACTTCAGGAACTACGTTGGCTCTCGGTTACGGTGCGGAATGAATTCAAGATTCCTTGGTACTTTTCAAACTTATCCGCCATAGTGAGGCAGCACTACGGTAGTTCACATAGTAAATATCAGTTCATGCGTTTAACATTCGCACTAAAAGCTGTGATGGGGTTCAGTTTAATCGTCCTAGAGTTTGTCCAAAGCCTGACAAGGCATACGGTGACCGTGCAGACTTCCACGTTATTTGAGCAAAACGTAAAGAATTTGAAGGGTTTTAAATCGCAGCTAAAACCTTCTTTTTCAAAAGTCATATAGATAACTTCTTTTTCTTTAACTGTTTTTACGCAGTTTTGATACTTGAATGTAAAATGCTTTGTATTAAGAATCAATTATCTTTCTTATTATCAGGACATTGAACATTTTTCTTTTAATTCATCGATTACTGTTTTGGCAAAATGGAAAGCGAAACCAAAAAAATGCAGCACTGCTCCTATATATTTATGCGTTGTGATTTAATTCTATTTATTTAACTATTTATTTATTCGGAGAAAAGGAGGAAGCCACTGAATGAGATGTAGTGATAGGTCGAAGAACTCTGCACCCTACCGTACACGGTCAAATACACCGTGTCTCCTCGCTGCAGGACCACTACCGCGCTACCAGACAACTGACCAAGTTGATTCGAGTGACCATAGGTACTGATAACCTTGTAGTCGTTTTTAACAAGATGGATGTAAAGGACACCGCTGTTGCCATTCTTAAGAACAGAAAACGTAAATACGTAGGTGCCCGGCACACTACAGGTGAACGTACCGGTCTCGAGGTCGAAGCTGGTACCCGGCAGAAGCGTCACGGTCTGCTGGAAGGGCAAACGGGTGTCGTGACTCGTAGATTCATCCGAGGTGCTCGTCCTCACCACGGTGAATGCTACCTGCTGACTGGAGTCGTCGGGTGTCTGTCCTGGCTCACCCTTCTGACCTTTGACACCAGCCTGACCGGCTGCTCCAACAAGACCCGGTGGGCCTCTGGGTCCCATTTTTCCGGGCAGACCAATCCCATCGTCACCTTTAGACCCAGTGTTACCAGGTGCTCCCCGCTCACCCATAGGTCCAATAGGGCCAATCACACCTTGCTGACCTTTATCGCCCTTTGACCCCGGCTGACCATACGGCCCCATCGGACCAACTGGCCCAGGCAGACCTGGTATGCCGGGTATGGCAGCAGGTCCCTGGCAGCACTGCTGACACACCTGAGACGCAGGCCCATCACCGTCCGAGGGAACCGGCCCAGTAATGGAAGCTCGGAGCTTGACAGAGTTACCCAGAAGGAGGGCGATTGACAGAATGGTGGCCCCGCATATCTTCATCTGTAAAGAAAACAAAATAGGGCCTATACATAAAACTGAAAACAAAAGCAACAACTAAATAAATAATGATGTAACATAAACTGAAGAATTTGTCTGATGGACATGTATGTATTCATAATATTTCTGAAGAATCGTTATTCAGAGAATGTATTCGGAGTGATATTGCAGTTTCATTTTCATAAAATATAAGGAAAATAATCCAATCCAATCCACATAATTGGGCTGGTTATTACTTTTGCCCGCCGATGAAAGTCAGGAAAAGAGGCCGAATTACATAATTTTTTTTTTTTTTTTTTTTTTTTTTTTGTGGGGACGGCCTGCTCTTTCCACGGTCATGATAGAATTAATTAGACATTACCTCACCGACCTCAATGGTTGGCTCTTAAAGACTTGAAGATCAGGTCCAAGAAGAGATCACAAGGAATTCGGTGTGGGCTGAAACAAAAAAAGAAACCGGTAACATTTATACTTGAGTAAGAAATTAACACATTTTATCATCATCTTAATGCAATTGTGAGGGTTTTTTTTCATTTTGATAAATCATCATTCGAAAACGGGGAAAATTTTTCACTAATTAATAACGATCAAAATTATTGTTTGACCGGTATTTTCCTGGCCGAAAACGTCCAGAAAAACAACAACACCCTGTTTTAATGTCGCTTTGTGAAGTGTCTTGTGAAACGGAATGCTCCATGAAATCAGCATACATTAAAACGCAATCAGTAAAACCTTTATTCAAATTCATTTTACCAAAAATGGTGTGTATTTTTTAGGCACTAGTAAGTCATTGAAATGACTTTGAAAGCATAATTATGTGAGTTTTTAAAACAGCAATTAATTCATTCAAATAGTTTTTTTTCCTGTCCAATTTCACACCTTGCTTATTCAATATTTGAACACTTTCTTTCAAATTAGCAACTTTTTCAAATCAGTTGAATTTAGCGAATGATCAAAATATTTAATTGTATCTTCACTTTACGCGTAAAAAGTAAGCAATTTACGTAATTTTTGCATTGGATTTATTGTGCTTTTGATTTCAGTCCTGCTCGGGAATTCACATTCATGCATACGTTTACAAAAGTAACACATGTTCAATAAAACTCGGCAGTTTAGCAAGATCAGTGGCGGATCCAGGGGTGTGGAGGGGGCGCCCTGCTCCACCCCCCCCCCCGGCAGTGACCTAAATGTTATGAAATAAGGCCAAACTTTACTTGAGAGAGCCCTTACACCCACACCCTTTCCCCGGCACAATCTGCACCGCCGGCAGTAACTCTCTGGATCCGCCCTTGAAGGTACTGTCTAATAATTATAAAGTATAAAATGACTTGATTTTTAATAATTTTGTATAAAGGAATGGACACATGTTTCAAGGAAGAAACCTTCAACACATAAACAGAATGCTGGCGGAAAATAATACCAATTGATAAAAATGAGTTATTCAGTTATTGTCTGCATTACATGGGAAAACGAATTCATACCACGGAAGTATAGTGGCGAAAATATTACAGGTGGACCACGGCAGTCGTTAAAAAAAGAATTGTTTTCCCCGATGGTGGAAATCAGCGCACCTGTTTGGCTATTAGCATCAGCCACCATCTGTTTGCCAACCATGAATGTGTCTCGGAAAATCTTTAGGGTTAAAAAAATCCAAATCTGTACCAATTGCACAACGTAAAACACTGAAAATATTGCTTTTTCAAAAAGATATTTAACAGAATCTAAGTGACATTCTGAGTGAAACCCTACATGCAAACATGGCTGAATTCATCGGAAAGTTGGTGCTTCAAACTTTGGAGTCGGACAGCAGAGCAGACGGACCCAATAATTTGTACAAACATCAAGTGTTAACATGATTTCTAAAAATAAATCCAGCCAGATAAAGCAATTTGGACTTGAATAAAACTGTGCGTGTAATAATGATCCGGTCCGTTTGTATTTGCGCCCTCTAGTTTATTCTGACCGGTGACACTTTTATCGTGCAATGTTTGAAAGTAAAACGTTTAGGCCTATATTGTGATCAAACCGGAATGGCGTACTGTGACCTAGTGAAATGACACAATTTAAAAACAAAGCGCAAAAGGTATTGAGATTATCCCAATTTTAAATAACACAACATAGGACAGGATGTTTAAGATGTCCCGATTTCCTTTATACGTTCTTCCGTGGCCAACTTCCGCATAACCTTTTATCCTGAATCAGTCAGTGTGATTGCCGGAAAAAAGGTGAGCGCATCGCATCGGGATTATATGTTTGATACAATAAACAGGGAAAACTAGCAAGAAATCAAGGGGCTGAATGGTCATACTGATATTATGGGTCAAGTGTCGAACTTTTGCAAGATTTCTTTTTTTTAACAAGAAAAAAAGATTTTAATTTATCATTTGAATATTGTGCAAGTGCGTAAACCTCAATAACAATATATATGGAACTTCATGTAATATGCTCTTGAAAACCTTCAGCCAGGTATGACTGGAAAACTGACGAACCTGAATGGCAATAAAAACTATAAAACTTTCATGAATTTATAGTGTGCTATCGGTAGCGACAAGAATTCAAGTAAGTTCGTAAGAGCTATAGCAGTCAGAATTTTGGACAATTGAGAGTGCACCTTGGAAGTAGCAGCAATAATATCGTCAGACAGGAATTCCTTTTTCCGAACAAATAAAATAAAACCCTTATTAGTTTGCTCTTATCTTTTATTGCCTGAAACTTTGGCCTCACAAAATGTTGGTGTGAATCTGCAGCAACTGTTCAGACTAAGAACTAATTCAGCTACATTAGGCCCCCCCCCCCAAAAAAAGTCTCCGGTTTCTGGTATGCGCTCGCGTCGCTGTAGCCATGCGCGTCGGCAAAATGATTTTTTTTTTCAATGAAAGATGATGTCTCAAAACCGCCAAACTCACTGGTTCGACTGGAATCCTGCTGCTGCACAATTAAACGTGTTTTTAGATGGGGTTATGATCGAGAATAAGCTTTATGTGGCCTCTCTAGTCTCCCATAATATTTGCACTAAGTTCAGTCGGGCACCATTTGCAGTCATCAGCCGACATTTGAAGCAAAAAAAAAAAAACAGGTAACAAAAAAACAAAAACAAAACTCGCCGCACCACTTTTTGGGCAAGCTCCATACCAGAAACCCGAGACTTTTTGGGGGGCCTTATATACATTATAATATCTGGTGATTATTCAAGCGCCTATCGGTAAGTTATCAAGTTAACGTATGGAAACGGGATCATCATGGTCGGAAATATTTACAGCGCACTGTTTTGGCTATAAGCACATTTTTGTCAATATCATTAATCAAAAAGATCAATCCCAAAGTTGGAAGAATTATCGTAAAAGATTGTATCAAAAACTCACCGTGCAATTCTTGTTCGCTCTTGCAAACAGTTCTCTCGGGTTGTCGTCTGGACATGAACATGAGCTGCAGTCGTTGTGAGGATTGAGCCGTCAGCTTGTGACTTAAATAATGACGTCGATTTCCCGAGCAGTGACTGAGGAACTTGCGAGCCCGGTTTGTGATTGGCCCCTTGCGTGCTGTCAATCACACATCACTGACTCGATTCATATTGATGAGAGGGAAATGATGTTAATGTTACATTGCCACACGTTAAACCCTGAAGCTTGTATCACCGACACTTCAACAGACGCATCGAATCGGTGGAATGACTGTATGGATGTCGGTGACACATTCAAACACGTGGATTGTGATTGGCACCTGTCAATCACAGACCACTCACTTGTGGTCACCGACTTGTTGTCTGACTAACTCCGATTGGTGGATAAAATAATGACGTACATCGGCCATACGTGTTTCAATCAGTGCTTGTTTTGCGCTTCGTGTTATTTAATGGAGCCACGCATTTGGTGGCTAGTATTTTGTAGTCAGGTTATGCAGTCTACTTTTTAGATGGAAAAACGAAAGCGTAGTAATTTATCAGGTGCATGTACAGTTGCCGCCCTCTTACGATGAAGTATACTTATTTTGCAGATTGCAGCCGTTTCCAAAGGCAACTTAATTATAACCATTCATCTATCCCCATCCACTTGTCAAACTTGTCGGCCCGGCCAACTTCTCGGCATGCAATCGACCTTGCACCTGCAGAACCCCCTCCTCGCTAATTGAGGCCCTCCCACCTCCGCTTATTGAGCCCAACCTATACCAAAAACCAAACACATAATGAGGCCAACCCCGATCTTGACCCTCGCCTCATCAAACCTAATCCCAAACTTACCCCAACTGTTTGGATCCTACCATGTGCAACAAACTTCTTTTCTTAGAAAACACTAAGCCTCTAATAGCCTGATCTCCAAGCCAAGCACGAATCCCCATATTGAACCCCTGCCCCACCATCCCTTTCCCCTCCTAACCACCCTGGGCAGCCAACGACGAATCCCGAACCAATATGCTGAAGTGGAGAAGGGGGGGGGGGTGCTTATTTAATGCTACAGTGCTGTTGTTCCCCTTTCTATTAATAGTTTCGTCGACAGTAAGAGGAAGAGCAAATCCTATCGAGTGCCCCCGTTTTTAGTAATTCACTCATCAATTTTCTGCTTATGACAACCAACAGTTGTCCCCGCTAAAATAGGCCGGCCTATAAGAATACCTACTGAGAAAATTTAAAAAGACGGTGGCCCATATTCTACCGAAAGTCCAAAATAATCAATAAGTGTGCCCCTGAGTGTGCCTGATTTCTAGCGGAACAATACTGCCCACAATCCAAACAGTACTTATACTTATGCCTATTTAGGGTGTGTAGTTTTCAAACCTAGTATTTCCGAGAGATATTACGCCGCGAAGTATTACTCATTGGCGTGTTCATTTAAAGGGACCTTAATTAAGACTCCTCATTTTCGGGAGGAAGCATTCAAAGAGTTAAGCGCCTCCCCCGAATCCCAGGCTGGCCGAGTGGTGAGGCACGCCCACCCTAGCTTTCCGGGTTACACCACTGAGTTTGAAGTGACGTATCGTATCTCAACATCCGGCTTGGACCATGAGTT